GGATCAGCGATTTTCTAGGATCTTCTTGGTAATGAAGGGTCATAATCTCACTGTCCTCAAAATGTCTTTCACTAAGCCATCTGCTGGTGTTTCTACTATTGTAGGCCACTGCTACTGCTCCCAGTTACAAGCAGAATCTATGAACGAGCCTCTCCAAACTCACAAGGTCACTGCCTGGCCCCAGCCGTCTCAAGTTTGCTGCTCGGTCAGAGAAGATGACACAAAAGGGAGGTATCCCAATCCCAGACTTGCAAAGGCAAAACATGTTTTCAAGGCTACCAAGTTACTTGCCAGGAGACTGAGCAACTGCTCTTCCCTCAGAAGGCAACTTAATGTAGTCCTCTCTCTTCAAAGCCAAGAAGCAAAGAGCAATGAGTGGGTCATCTCTTTAAATGTCCACTCAGTTCTAGCTCAATAATCTGAATCATGAGATTTTCCAACCTTGTAGCTAATTACAAGATTTTTATCATCACAAAGTACAAACCCTTGTACATGGTGTCTCAGACTGAAACCAAGCAAGGATTATCTAAGCATCCTTCAAGAACTCTCTGTGAAGTGTAGATAATAACTGCACATACTTCCCAGGACTGTTTTTAGGATCAAATGAGATATTGATACAGTACTTAGCACAATGCCTGGCACACAAAAGGCACTATATAAATGTTAGCTATTATTATTAAATACTTTGATTTTGTTACTATTTATAGTTATTAGTAATTTTTATAATTCAATGGATCCATCCATTCATCAATGTAGGCATTTCTTACTTCTGTATACAGGTCACAACCTAACCACATCTTACCCTTCAATATTTTGTCCATGTCCTCAATAGGTCCCCTGTAAAAAATCTCTCCTATTAGAGGTCTTCCTTTAGCTATTCTAATATTTCAGAGATGTCATGCAACATTCAAGGCCTTCCATCTATTATTTTTCACTATTAATGCATACTGGTTTCTTTTTTTTTACCTTTCTTTTTCTCCCCAGCATTCCACACAGTACCTGGCATGCAGTAATCATTGAATAAATCATCTTTGAATGACTGACAAAGCTACATTATAAACTGTCCCCCCGACCTAACATGCACTGTCACCTAAACCCTATCTGTTAGAACCTAGCTTCCTTCAAAAAACAGCTCAGATGCCACCTCCTGATCTCCCCAAGTGTTAATGCTCTCTCTATCCTCCATTATACAGTATTTACACGTTGTAATTCCAAGAGACGAAACACACCTTGAAGGCAAGGTTGTTTCATTTCTGTCTTGTCATTCCAAGTACTAAGCTTGGTACCCAGCAAGAGAAAGTACTTAATAAATGTTTGCTGAACAGCATTAACTTAAGTTTAACTTAATTAAACAGTCTACTTACTTTTCTGATCATACATTTTTTGGAAGATGACATACGAATCAAAACTGTAAGTGACCCAAAAAGCAATAGAAAGGGTGGGTGTAAACAGCCTGCAGCATATTACTTACAATAACCTGGTACACAAAACACCTTAAAAGATAACCAGGTGATATATGACCAAAGAGGTGGACCAACTACAACAAGCACTTATTTATATTTTAAGAAAAAAACACTTAAAATCACAGGCATGGAAAGGATTTTCTTTAATGTAATCAAGAGTATAAAACTCAACCAAAAGTCAGTATTATCTGAAATGATGAAATACTGGAAATGTTTCTAATAAGTTCAGGGGAAAAGCAAAAGCGCTGCTACTTCATGCTATTACTTGACATCATTCTAAAAATCTTAAAGTATGGCAACAAGGCAAGAGAACAAAATCAAAGGTATAAACACAGGGAAAGAGAATACAAAATCAGCATATTAATTGATTTAGAAAACCCCAGGGAATGGGCACTGAAAAAAAAAAAAGTAATAGCTTCAGTAAAGCAGCGGACTAGAACATAAATCCAAAAAAACTCATTAGCCTTTAATATACAGTACCCCCAAAAAATGAAAAAACAGGAGTAATTACAAAATCCATAAAATATCTCTGAGTTAACCCACAGGGATATTACTTGGAGATTATTACAAAGAAAACTTGAAAGCACTCTTAAATAAAGGAAGATGTAAATGAAGAGGAGTTCATTGTTATGGTTAGGTTATAGCAAAACAAATGACAACTCCCAAAATTAATTTACAGATTAGCACTACACCAAACAGGCAGGCAATTACTTTATAGAACTAGAACAAAAAAAAATTATTTAGAGAAACAAATAGTCTAGCACCTCAAGAGAAAGAAAGAAAGAAAAAAGGAATGAAGGAAACATAGCATTACCATATTTCAATCTATGTTACAAAACATCAGTCCTCAAAATATTTGGTATTGGTTAAAGAAAAAGATGTAGAACAGTGGAATAGACTAAATAAGCAACATTCAGAAGCAAATGAACTTGAGCATAGTGTTCATTAAACCCAATTAACACACACTACTAAAAGAAGAACAGTCTAGTCCAGGGGTAGGGAATCTGTGGCCTTCTAGGTCCTCAAGTGCAGCCCTTTGACAAAATCCAAACTTCACAGAACAAATTCCCCTTAATAAAAGGATCTGTTCGGTAAAACTTGGACTCAGTCAAAAGGCTAAAGTCAACTTTCAGGTAAATATGTAATCTAAATGTGAAAAATTCATTTTTTTTAAAGTAGAGAATAGAAGGAAACACCTTTCACATTTCACAACTATCATTACTGGGAGAATTCTTAATCAAAAATAGACAATTTAAACTATATAAAACTTGAAAGCATTTGCATGACCAAAATCAAAGAGATTAGTATAATAAGAGAATCTATCAAGAGGGGAAAAATCTTTGTATTAAATTTTCTGCTAAGGGTATGATATTATAAACATATAAGGAATTGTTCCAAACTTGTAAGACAAAGAGGCATTCCCCAACAGAACAGTGAAAGGATACGAATAATTTTCCAAAGAAATCTAAATTATTAACATATGAAAATATTATCCAAATCACTAATAATGATAGAAAATGTACATTTAAACAACTCTGAACAGAAAGAGTCAAAGTTGTCAGGGTTATGAGAAGATGAAAATGCTGATACACTATTGCGGGAGTCAATGCTGATACACTATTGTGAGTCAATCTAATCTTTCTGCAAATCAATTTTGAAATATATGAGTAAAGTTACTCAACTGTTCATACCCTTTGACACAGTGATCTCACTACCAGGCATACCAGGGGCATGCTGAAGCCAGCTCATAACAGCTCTGAGTCAATTGTTAAAATTTCAGAGTGAGCATTTATATCTCACAAATCTGCCAACATTGTCAATCAAGGTTTAATTTATTATGTTACTCTTTATGCAGACTTAAAGTAATGGAGAAAATATGAGTAATGCAGATTAGCCTTAAAAGTCTGTCCTGCATTTTCAGAGAGCTGATTGTTAAGCATTTACCAGCACATCTCAACATATACCCCAGGGAAATTCATGACAAAAAAGGTCCTAATAATATAATAGTACTTTTTGTGGTAGCAAAAGAACAGGAAACAAAACAGGTTCCCAATGACTAGGAAATGACTGAATAAACTGTGATATACAAGTTGAATGGGATGTTAGTATACCCTAAGAAATTACAAATATGCAGCATTCAAAGAAACATAGAAATATTTCTTTGAAGTGATTCAAAGTAAAAAAATCCAAACCAACAGTAGTGTGTACACATACACATACACACACACATACACATATAAACACTAGAGCAGCTGAAGTGAATGATTATAGTGAAAAATCTTGGTCCTAGAAATTTCTGATAAGCAAATATTCCTTGTCTCAGTAGAGAGATAAGGAATATAATTGTGAAATGTAGTTTATGCTACCAGATACAATTTGGATATTATTTGGCTTTGCATAAAGCTAAATTTGTCTATTACAATATGAAGAATTAAATGGGATGTGGCAGATTAAAGGGAAATGACTCCAGCTTAAAGAGAAAAGGCAATAATGAAAAAAATTTTTTAAATAAGAGAACAGGTACAACCCAAGTAGTACACTGGTTGCCAAACAATGCTAAAAGACCTACAGAAAGGCCTCCAGCATGTGGTTTAGAACATTTATAAGACATGGAAAAGACTTCATGGGATAAGAAGGAAGGGGTAGGTTGAGAGGTCCACTGTTAAACACTGTACCCAAAGTCTGAGATGATAGTTCCCTTTAAGTATTAAAATATACCCTTTATTCCACTTTCATGTGCATTAAGTCATGGTTAGAAATAAGTTGCTGCCACCACACATCTCTCCACTGTACTTTGGGGCACCTGCAATTTTGATTTTCACAGATCATCATGTTCCAAAGATCAATCTTTTGTATTTAGAGAGCAGGTTGGCAAATTTTAAAGCACCATATATGTGCACACTTTTCAAAGCACATTCAACAGGTATTAAAATTACCTTTTCAATGTCAGGAGTTTTTTATTGCCATTCATAAAAGGCTAATGAACTTTTATAGCCCCTACGATAAAACTCTGTATTTAGCGTGGTCTCAATATTGACTAATCAGTTTCAAGTTATATTTGAAAGGTTACAAAACTGCCGATGGTAAAACTCCTCACTCAAGATGTGAAGGCAACCCTGGGTTGTTGAAGAGTATTCTAACATAGCACAAACTCCTACATTAGACAGAGTTCTACTATGGGTTTTGTCCGGGTTTGTCTGTTATCCAAGTATTAGCCTAGCTTTATCTAAAGATATTAATCACCAGGCTTGCCAGAGGTCAATTAATTTTTCCCAGAAACTCCCAAAGATCATCTACTAACTTTTAAAGAGGGCTACAATTTATACTGATTTATACTTTCCTATACTTAGGAAAAACAGATCCATGAAGTCTCAAGAAATATCTTAAAATAACTGTAAATTTCCTCCACTGTTTTGAAGCATTGGCCACAAATAACTGTAACTCCTCACATTCCTTTTTTTTTTTTGTGGATAGCGTTGGATTATTTCTAATTCTCTTTGTTTTGTTCACCATCACCACCTCCCCTCACCCGCACAGGGCATTTTCAAGAATCCTATTACAAAGAAAAATTGGTGTGGTAGTAGTAGGCTTTCCAGCCACTCCAATAATAGAAGCTCGGGCTCGGTTTTGTATGTCATCTTCACATACTCGGGAAATGTTAGACACGGTAAGTTCTCAAGAAGTTTTTTACTGGATTCTTCGTGGTTCTGTGGTCCAGAAAGTTCTGTTACTTTAGTTTTCAAAGATAATCAATTGTTTAACATTTGGAGGTTCCTAGGTCTCTGCTGGGTGACTTGAAAAAAATGCAAATCAAAATAGTAAACAAAAACTATGCCTATGACAACAAAATGCATAACCATGTAATAAATTCAGTAAATTGAGAGGGGGGGGCAGAGTGGGGACAGGAGTGGATGATCAGCCAATTAAATGAAAAAATTCAGTCAATTAGGTTAAGCCAGCATTTTGGCATCATATAAAACTAGATGATTTACATTTTTCCACTGCTGAATTAAGGATCCATTGAAGGAACTGGAATTGTTTAATACAGAGGTGAGAAGACCTTGGGGAGTGGGCTGGACCATGATGATAATCTTTAAGTACATCAAAAACAGATCAGACTTGTTTTGCTTGCTCCCAAAGAGTAGAACTGCAGGTAATGGGAGAAAATTCAAGAAGGGCAGATTTATGTTCAATGTAAGGAAAACCTCCTAAAAATTAGTTCTATACAAAAGTGCAATGAGAAGACTTAAGAGGTCCTCATCCTATGCCACCAACCCCCTAGGGCATCTTCAACTAAAGGTTGGATGACCTCCAGCCTTCACTTCAGAAATGGTGAAAATCAGATTCTTGGCCAGATACAAGTTGCTAGAGATGGTCTTTAAGGTGCCTTTAAATTCTGAGGTTTATGATTTTGTAATTTTAACAAATAACACTGACATAACAGCGTACAACTAGGTGTGTCTTACAATCGTTAAATAACAAACAAACCTATCATAATAAATCCAATAGACCAAGAAAGCACTGGGACAGATCCAACAAAGCAAGCTTGTCTTAAGTGATGTGAAAGTCAATACAAATAGGCTTCCTTTCTCTGACATTTATTTCAGTCTTTCCTATGTCAGAGCAGAACAACAGGTACCTCAAACAATCTGAAGAAATAAAACGGGAATTTAAACCTTGTAATAAATGCATAGGTTCTCTGTCCTGGGCTCTCTTCTCTCTTCTCTCTTCTCTCTCCCTCTCTCTCTCTCTCTGTGATCTCATCAGCTCCCTATAGGTTCAATTATCATCTCTATGCATGCAACTCCAAAACCTATAAATCTGGCTCTTATTCCTTTCCTAAGTTCCATATCGCCAAACTGCCTGCCCCATCTCCATCTGGATGTTGCCTAAGCATCTCAACCTCAACATGTCCAAAACAGAATTTATTATTTCCCCCTTCAGTTATCCATCTTCACAATCTCAAAATCAGCCTATTCAAACCTCTTCACTCTCCCTTATGGCCCATATCCAATCAATTACCAAAATTCGTAGAATCTACCTCCACAACATATGTTGCATCCATTCTCTTCCTTTCACTCACAGATGCCCCTCCCCCTCCATAAGGTCCTCATCACCTCGTACTCAGACCAATACAACAGCTCCTTAACTCACCTGCTTCTCATCTTTTCCCTCTCCACTCCATCTTCAACATTATTACCAAACTAATATTCCTAAAGCACAGGTCTGACTATTTCAATCTCCCACTCAAAAAGGATGATGCTATTTAAATATCTTCATAATCTAGCTTTAACCTATCTTTCCAGATTTATTTTACATTATTCTCCTTCATTCCCTCTATGCTTCAGTCAAACTGGTCTAACTTGCTACTCTCCAGTACACAAAATTCTGCCTCTCAAGTCACGTCCTCACTTCTGCCTCTTTGAATCCCTTGCACTTTTTAAGGGTCACTTCAAATACCCCCTCCTACAGTAGATGTTTTCAATGATGACAATAGTTAGTGCTCCCCAATATACTCACACAAATAGAAAAAATGAAATTATATCATATTTAGTTTGTATGTATTTAGTATTTACTTAACTATGTACATGTATATCTGTCCTTATATTCCAAATGCCTGGTACAGTGCCTTGCATATAGCAGCAATGTAATAAATTCTTGTTGAACTGAATTATATTGGAATTTAAGGTCTATGTAATTTACACACACACACACACACACACACACACACACACACACACACACACCTTAACTGAAATGCCAGTTCTGATTAAAGTCTTCATTTTATGTACTATAAGATGAATGATTAGCACAATGCCTGACACATATAAGGTTCTCAAACAATGTGTGTTGACTGATTGGCTGTCAAATCTTGTGATTATCACACAAATAATTTGGATCACTTTAAAAAGAAACAAGTCTATCCCTTTTCCTCTGGCTAAGACCACACACAAAACTCTTTTCATTTATAAAAGTCTCCAAGAAGGAGATTCTGTGAACAGAATCCACCCAGCTCTGGTCTCCCCTGATCCATTCTAACATTTAGTAACTCATATTATTCATAATTCTATATTTAGCCCAGACTAAATCCTTCCTGAAATAGCTTAGATACATTTCTGATTACATACTTTTCTCACAAAAGCCCTGAGATAGGCAGTAATGCAAATATTGCTATCCCTACTTTCCAGATTTAAATTCAACAAGCACTTACTAAGCATCTATTGCATACAAAGCAACTGCACTAAACAGTAGAGATATTCCTCAAAAAAAAAAAAATACAGTCTCTACCCTCAAGAAGCTTACCCTAAAATGGGAAAATGTAACATGTAAAGAGAAAGTAAACACAAGATAATTTGAGGAGGAAAAGTACTAACAACAGATGAAACTGTTAATGTCACTTCTATAGTTATATCACCCTTTGGACTTTTCAAAGCACTTTCCCAACTTTTACCTCATTAGATGATAACAGTAGTCCTTTGAAGTGGATAAGATAGGCCTTATTTGACAGATGAGGAAAATAGGTCTCAGAGAAAACAGATTTTTCAGATGAAAATGTTTTGAAATATACAAAACACCAAATAAATGCCACATAAATTTGCGTCTAGTAATAATGATAATTTATCAGAGTAGGAGTTCCCACTTCACAAAGACAGTAGTCTTTGCAGAACTATGGAATCCTAAAGAGAAATCCAAGAGACAACCTTATGCACTAACAGCCAATTAAGAAGCTAGTAGTTGAAAATTATCTCTCATGTGGAAGAACCTTAACATTTCCAAAAATCACTTAATATTTGTGATCATAAACTTCTTCATCATTAAAGCAGGATACCTTATTTGTTTGTGTAGAGAATGGGACAGAGACACTATGCAACTGAAGGAGGGCAAATACTGTCCAATTTTTTTTCAAAGAGGAGAAAATGGAGTATGCAAATTAGAGCAAGTGAGTTTGACTTTAATTCCATCACTCCTCACTGCACCACAACACCCAGATTCAGAAGCAGGAGAAATCAATTAATCAATTCTAGCTGGTGGGTGAAGAGAAGGGGGAGGAGGGTCAAAGAAAGGATTCATGAAAAAACACATGAGATGAGTTTTGAAGGGTAAGTTGGATTTTAAGGATGTGAAAGGATTAAATCAACAACTTAAAAGTTAATAAGGGTTAGGGTTCAGAAAAATAATTACAAAATCTTATTCTTTTTGTTTAAAATGGATTACCATAAAAACAATACTATAGGTGTAGCTAATGTGGTATACCGAAAGAATGTATTCTAATTATTCTCATTGCAGGTCTTGAAAGAGATTGATGAAGTAGGTAATATTCTGAGACTGAAATACTCACGGCACAAAAAGTCAGCTCGTCCTGAACTACTGGATGAAACAAGCTTTGAACTTGAAGATTAAGTTTCCAAGCTGGAAGAGAACAGAGACTTTGCCAAAAAAGACCTCCCTCCTTGCCTCCAAAGGAATAGAAATGTATTTCTTCCCTTTCTTAGAACGGTTTTTGTTTCTTGAGCAGCCAACTGAATTGAGGAAAACACTGCTGTTGAAGTTTTACTGTCTCCAACTTGTGCCTATAGAGGTTGAAATACAGTTCCAGATTTCAGTTTCTCCTCTCCTAAGGCTTCCCAAAGAAAAACACACTTCTTAGTGTATTTTTGATGGCAAAGAGCCTGGATCTCATTTGCTACTGTGCAGCCTCACTGGATCAGTGCCTTTCGGGGAAATGGGGAAAAGAGGTTTAAAATTTTAATTTAGCAGGTTTTATTGTGCTTTAGTTAAAGCATATTTCATCTGCAGACTTGTGGGATGTTTTTATTTGTACCAACTCTAAAAGCATCTATCATCATTTTAGAACGTTTCAGGAAAAAAGAGATATGAATTTCTATTTGCCATATTTTGAATTTCTCAAAAGTCAGGTGCTGAGAGAAAATTAATGCTTTGAGGGAGTAAGCTGGTGAACATGTACTAGAGAAAGTCTTTGAAGAAAAATATTCTTTTCCTCATACTGATCCTACATGGTTTATTCCAATTTTATAAGTTTTCCTTTCCAGGGCATGAGCCAAATTTAGGTCTGGACACGAGTGTGGTTAAAAATAAAGACTTTTTCTCCTATGATGTCTGACTCCATAATTTATAGTAACCTAAATATGATAGTGCCACTCAAAGTTTCTGTTCAGCATGTACAATATAAATCTTGTGAATGAACAGTCATTCTAATTATTTCTTTTTAACTTTGGAGAAAATGCTGAGTCATTTCATGTTCTTTGGCCACTATCACAAGATTACTCTTTTAAAAATTGTATCAATTCAAAATATTTAAAATAAATTTATAATGCACTTCACTAAGTCTGTGACACCCAGAGCTAAGTTTATCAAGGAGTCTTGTCACCTAGTACGTGTAAAGCATCTTGACTGAGATAAAAGCTGAGTTTTGAACTCAGCGGGCTTTTTTTTTTTTATATGTGAAACACAACTGACTGTAGTTGAAGCATTTGAGCTTGTGGCCCAGTGATTATGAAGAGAGGCTGGTCAATGATCAATGCTAATTTTATCTGACTGACATGCAGAGAGATCTGCTGGGAAAACCTTAGCTGTACAAACATCCAGCTAGGCATTCAAGCACATTTAGAAAGGACAAATAGAGTGATCTTTTAGCAACGCTTCCCCAACTGTAGGAATGAACTACATAACATTTCATTCTATCAAATGACATTATAAACAAATCAGATCAAGAGATGTTTGGCTTTCTGCTGTACAGACGCACCCAAATTTTCATGTTCTTTATTCTACGGTTGTAACACAACCCATGTCTACAATGCTAGATTTAATGAAAGGTGGGAGTTGAAGGACTAGATACCCGAGTCCCTGAAAAAGGTAGGGATTAGAGACCCAGACAACTAGGTGCCTAGTAAATGTGGGAGCTGAGGGGGTTGACAATTCAGTCATTAAGGTTCATTACTTATTAAAGCAAGTTTTTGTTATTGGGAAATAAATAAAATCTTTAATTATATTGGTTTAAAAGTGGATTATTATATAGTAGTACTTATGGATATTTAAAAGTTGTGTTTTATTGTGGGCAAGAAGGCAGTGCTGAAAATTTGGTAACATCACCATACCACTATTGTTTTTTGTTTTGGCTTTGTTTTTCATAATTAATTCAGACTATAGTTAAGGAACTGAAAGCAGTAGCTTTTGTGCATGAAAACAAGTTTACTGTATAAATGTAAAAATGAAAATTCTTTTATTTACTGGACAGGTCCATTTCAATAGAATTATTCCTAGTAAAAGAGTCCAAAATGGAGGGGTCTTTGGTTCTATAAGGGAAATTGGAGGGGGGGGGAAGGTTTTCATCTTTAATTCTGGATCTGTGCCTGCACTCCAAATCTATGAAATGGTTTTTAATTCCTAATGAATGCTTTTGGACAGTCTTGTGCATACTCACCCAAGTGACTTATTTTCACTAAGGAGCCAAAGCTGTATTTTTTGTTGGAAACTGATGACTTTTCCCTCTGTGGGGGAGGGTGCTTCCTCTTCATCAGAGTCCAAGGGATGGGGGGGCAATTTATTATAATCCTGTACTCAAGACAAAAGACTTCTCTTTTTAGAAGGCTCTCTGTCCTACACATGCTTAATGAGAAAACATCTAAGTAAAATGGAGTACCCTTTTAACACTTAAAAAGGAAATGTGACAGAGAGCATGTTTTTTAAAGGACCAGTAATATAATGATAAAGGTGATTTGAATATAGGACTGAATTTTTAGTTTTGATAAGAATAAAAAATCAGTGTTTGGCATCTAGGGCCTTGCTGTTAATTTCAAAATTTTCAAGGACTTAATAAATGACTCACAATAGAAAAATAGGTGTTTCTTTGGCTGAGTCTAGAAGGCAAGTGTATTCCCACAATCTCTCTTCTGTCCTTCCTACTATATTTTTGCATATTTCCTCTGATGCTAAATTTGGTGTGAATTCCCAACTGTCTCAGCCTACTGCAGCTCAGAACTCCTAAGTTCAAATGATCTGCCAGCCTCAGTTTTTCTAGTAGCTGGGATTTCAGGTGTTTGCCACAATGCCCCACTGCATATCAATTCCTATTTATCTTAACAAATAACCTTTTATCTTACAGTCACAGTTTCCAAATATCTTGCAGTGTTCTCTACTTTTGGTTAACATTTCAGTTATCACCTATTTCATTTCCCTTTTTAAGAGAGGTAAGCTTAGTCTTATAGACTAATTTTATATGATGGAACTCCTGGTATGTAGGTCCATTTCACCTATTGAAATTGAAAATACTTACATGGGTTAAATGAAGCACATTAGTCCACTACTATACATGGAAAGCCTCTTTTCCTCAACTGCAAGATATTTTGCCTGAATTATTGTGCTGTCTTTTGGATGCTACATGACATAAAGGATAACACACTGTAACATTACAGAGCATTAGAGAAGTTAAGAAAACCAGAGTCTGAAACCTGTCTCAGACACATCAGCTATGACCCTAATTCACATAACCTCTTTCAGCCTCAGTTTACTTTTCTGTAAAATAAGGAAAACAGCACCTACTTCATGAGGTTGTGATGACGATAAGGTGAGATAATACATATGTTTAGTATAGTGCTTTGCAAACTTTAAAACTTATAAAAATGTTAGCTATTACTTTTGTTCTTTTTATCCATACAGACTCACAATCAGCACTAGAGTCTATTCACTTTCTTCTTTTCTCTTTGTATGGCTCTTACATGTCCTCTTTCTTTTTCCTTGTGCATCCACTTTGAGTATTTTGTCTTTCTTTCCCCTTCATTTTACCTTTTTGGGGAAAACAAAATTTTAATCCTGATAATTTTTTATCACCAGCAGTACTCTAGTGTTACAAAATTCTTAACACTTGTTCAAACAACCTTTTAAAAACAAAGTCATTATCTTCTATGAGTCTTGCTACAGTTACCAAATATCAAGTATTCCATAGAACTCAAGTCAAAATCAGTCTAAAATATTGGCTATTTTATACACATTGGCTTGATTTATAACAATGATTTTATTCTGAACCCAAATGATTTATTAGCAATGATCCCTCTTGTCAAAACAGTTGCTTTTTTTTTTTTTTGTCGAGGCAATTGGGATTAAGTGACTTGCCCAGAGTCACACACCTAGTAAGTGTTATGTGTCTGAGGTCACATCTGAACTCAGGTCCTCCTGACTTCAGGGCCTGTGCTCTATTTACTGTACCACCTAGCTGCCTCAGCAAAATCTTTGAGGGCCTAGTTTTAGAAAGAATAAAGGAGTAAGTACAGGTAAAATCTTTCAGACAAGTGCTACATGGTCTTTTGTCCCTGAAAGAACCAGAAGAATTGAAAGATATCACTCCTTCATGCCAAGAATTAATTTGATGACTAAACAATCAAAACTGACAGTAACAATTTTGTAAATGAAGTATAATTATCCCAATGTCATATCATATGGTGAGTTAGCAACAAAGCCTAGTCTAGTCAGGGCTTCTAAATTCCCAGTGTAGTATTCTTTCCCATCATAAGTGAAAGCATACCTTCCCGTCCCACTTAGTATTGGAGAAGCTGATACTGATCACCAAAAAAGTACACTGCGGCCATGAAAGAGTTTTCAAGAAGTTTGTCATGCATGAAGGTGTTTCTATGCCATGATATTTTCTTTCCTATAAATACAAATCTCATTAATAGTCTTTCTACTAAGCCCTATAATTGCTTTTCTTACTTGGTACCACCATGGCATCAGACAAAAATGGGTCACAATAAAGGAATAGTGCAAACCACATTATTCCTTTTGGCAGGGCTCATGTCCATGCTGACTGGAATTCTGTTACTCTTAAATGAAGACATCCACTGACCTAAATGAAAGGCTTAATTTTGACATCTGCATGTCAGCTTCTCTTGGAAATTATCCCTTGGTATTAAAAGTCTGAATTAATAAAATGACCAACAGAAGGTCAAATTAGGTGTGAGCTAGGATTTTCATTGCTCTAACACATGAAAACATCATTACCTCCTTTTAATTCAGGTCAAAACTAATTTTTGCTGCTAAAATATTGATTAAAAAGAATAGTGATTATTTGTACTCACCTAGGTTTGTTCAGGAGTTTTCTTAAGTAAGTTTATACAGACTACAATGACTGGATTCACTACTAAGAGCAGAGTTGTCAGGGAAGGAAATGGTTCTTAAAAACTCTGAGCTACCTATGGCTGAAGTAGGCCTGACTCAAGACACAGTATTAAATCCCCTACTTCAGCATGTCCCAAGATTCACTGTGGACCAAGAAAAAACAAGTCAATCACATTGCTTCATTCTTTCTTTTCACTTCTTACTATGTCTGTTCAGATCTAAAACACACACTAAACAAAATTTGTGGGGAATATTTGAAATAAGTCAATTGTTTAGTGATAGATTTCGTTCAGAGAACAAGCTAGTAAGGATCTTGACTCTGACACCAGAACCTAGAGAGCATAAGAAGAATTAATAAACAAATGGCTGATGTCATAAGATCAAAGAAAGTGAACTTTTGAGGCTTTAAATGAGGATTTGCAAATGGGCTAATACAGATAAATCATCAACTTTTCAAAAGTAAGGAAAATAAATTTGGCTCCTAAAATACATGTTTTTCAAATATATCTATTTTGGGGGCTGCCAATACAATTAAGATATATAACTTGCGTCCTTTCAAATTGATATTTCTACAACTGCTCATAGGTAACATTAAATTACAGTCACAGACTTGAATATCTTTAACACTGCTACTTTACTTTGTTCATAAAATAATGTTTTTGGAACAAAGAACACCAAAAAAAGCTTTTCAAGACCTTTTCAAACAATCAGCTACTAAAAAACCTTTAACAGGATAGACTTCTTAGAAGAGAATAGAAATTTATGTACTAAACAAAAACAAATAAAAATTGTGAATTGACCATAAGGGAAAAATTTATGGGGCATGTCTTGGAGTTTCACTGTATTAAGACATTAAATGTTAATGTTGAATAAATGTGCAAGACACAGTACACAGAAACACCAAGTTACTGTTAAAAATTAAATTCCATTAATGTGGAAAATAGCTTTTTATAAGTGAAATTAATCTTGTTTATTTTTTTAATAGCCTTGTTGGTAGATTTTAAAATGTTCAAATACAAAAAGAATGTCAACTGGCTTAAATTTTACTAGCCTTCTCATAATGTCCAGCACCATGACATGTTAGCATCAAGCATAGTCAAGTAAACTATTTGGGGAAACTAAAACATTTCTCGCACACAGACCCAGACAGCAGTCAATGTGCCAGACACTGTGCTAAGTGCTGGGTGTACAAAGAAAGGAAAAAAAACACTCTCAGAGAGTTCATGATTTAATGGACACAACAAATGAATATGAATCTATCAAAATAAACAACGCAAACACTATGCCTTAACTCCCCCTAACCCAAGATAATTCATGAACATACACCCTTTTGTTCTCATCTCAGTAACCATGACATCTAATAATCTAATTTCTAGTAATAGCACCTCAATTTTGTCCTCAGATGCTTAGCCACGTACTCCAGCCAACTTGTTCTCAAATCTTTACAATCTCATTTAAAAGAGAGGATATCAAAGTTAGGAAGCTAAGACCTGCAGAGGTTTAGGGAAGTAGGGTCAGGATGAGAGAGTAAGGGAGAAATAGGCAACCAGTCAGGGACATCGATATCAATAAGTAAAAATAGGTAGGTAGCATAGCAAATAGAATGCTAGACTCAGAGTCAGGAAAACCTAAGCTCAATTACTGCCTCAGACGCTTACTTAGCTGTGTGAACTTGGACAAATCATTTAACCTCTCTTTCCCAGTTTTCTCATCTGCAAAATGGGGATAACAGTATCAATCTTACAGGGTTGTTGTGAGAATCAAATGAGATAAAATATGTAAAGCACTTTGCAAACTTTATCATATAAATGCTAGCTACTGATACTGTTAAAAAGCTGACAGTGAGCACATGTACATAGATCATTTTAGCTATCTTAAC